GCAGAAACGATAAAAAGAGGGAAAGTGAACGAGGATGGCGTGGTACGATCAAAGCCACGAGTCGTCATTGAATTTACAATGAAGCTCGAACGTCGCTTATTCGCACACAAAGCAGCTCAGAGCATGGCAACTAACGCGAAAGCGAATTTATTATTTCCTCCGAGTACCTCTCCCCTTCGGCCTCTCGTGGAACCGAGGTTCCCTCGCGTTAGAACACTCGCCGAGTATTCGCTGAGACGCCTTGGCATCGAACCTGTGTCACTGTCCAGTAACCGAAAATCAAGCTAGGTCTAGTGAGAGATAGACAGACACGCGTCTAACCGAGTCGATAACGTTAATAAACGTTTAATCAGAGTTGAAGAAACTATCATTTAAGCCACGCCAGAATTAGCCGCCCGAGTCGATTAATTCGCATAATCCCATACGCGATTAGGTTATCTTTTACTCTAAGACACTCTGCCCTGTTACCGCTTGCTACCGTAACGCTGTTATCTACGAGACCGTATAAAAATATCAATGAATCATGCCACGTACATCTTGCCCGCTATTTCGGTAACTATTACGTCCAATTAGGTAATCGTCAACGTTAAATGCACCTGGCACAACTATTTTTATGCTATTTTTATAGCGTAAAATAGCATTGGCTGGGTTCAGCGTCGACCTGCAAAGTGCCACCGAGTCTTCCGATGAAACGTGAAAGATTCCGATACGGGCCGAGGAAAGTCGAAGAGCGGATAGACGGAGAGAGAAAGAGAGAAAGGATGGGTGAGTTAGGGAGAAAGAAAGAGATAATAGGCTTGCGGCGTTGAAAGCATTCGCGGGGCAGGTTTTAATTTTCAAGAGGCCGCCGGCCTGCTTCTTCTTCTCCTTCTTCGTCGTCTTCTTCTTCTTCTTCTCCTGCGGCTTATATACACGCAGCAGCTGTGCAGGCCGACTGGCGTTTCATTCGATTTGGCGCGTGCCTCGTGGCCGACGTTGCTGACCACGTTTTGCTGGCTGCCTTTCGTTGCTTCGCCGTTACTCGTTGCTCGCGGACCAGCCCTCGGCACCTGTTCCACAGCTGATACGCGGCTGGCTGTTGAGCTGGCTGTTGAGCTGGCTGTTGAGCTGGCTGCTGGCAGCTTCTGCTCCCTCGAAACCTTCCTCCTTTTCTTTTTCCTCTCTGTTAATCCACGCTTTTTCTACGTCTCGGTCAAATTTCACGGCACAGTCCTCCGTTATCCTGTCTGGCGTCCCGACGGAAGTTCCTGCGGGAGGACACGCTGTGAGATCTCTCGCGAATTAAAGAACACACTTGCTCGTGGTAATTAAAAGCCCAGACGTTAGATTATTACGCGGATATCGTATATCAGGGGCGCGAGGAATTCCATTGTTGGTGGAAAAATCGGAGATGAAAAAGATCTTGGACCCCGGTCGTCTGAGAGTTTAAAGGTCCCATTCGCGAAATTCCAGAACCGCCCAAAAGTATGCCACCGTGGGCCAACACGAGGGAGAGAAAAAACGGGCCGAGAGAGAAGAAAAGCGATCGAGACAAACGCGAAAGAGGAGAAAAGAATCGTTGCTTGCTCAGGCTCCAATTGTTCATCCGTGTGAACAAACGCGCGGCCTGAATGCTCAGGAATTTCGGAATAGTTTCGTTGCTCTGCCCCCTTTCGGAGTCGCGGTTCAACGCGACGACTGCGGCCGCCAAGTGCAAGTAGAAGAAGAAGAAGAAGAAGAAGAAGTAGAAGTAGAAGAAGAGGTACAAGCAAGAAGAGGAAGAGGAGGAAGGAGCGTGGAAGGAGGAACGCGAGAAGAGGGTGCATTTAGGTAGCATGAAAACATGTACCTCGTGGAGAAGCACACCGGCAAAGTGTTCACGGTTTTGCGTACGTGTTCCACTCACGTACACGCGTGTGCCCGCGTGTGCGTGCCACGCCGTGAGGGCCGACTCGAAGCTGCACTCCCACGCTCACCGTCCATGAAATGGGGTGCGAGGTGCAGCTACACGCCAACTCGTGCAGGTGTAGGTGGTGTGCGCAAGGGTCCGTCCCTTGGGCCCCATTAACGTCGCCGTTCCTCGAACCGACTTGCCCGCCAACCGTATGAGAACCCGCGTGGACTTATGATAATTCCGCGTGTCGTTACACTCTTTGACCCTTTACGGTGGTGTCTGGTCAGGAGGGAGAGGTTCCACGTCGGAGAAGTCGCCTGAAGACGGCCTGAATTCACGATTTTTTAGCCTACCTACGACCAATCAACGATATATACCATTCGCTGCAGTTGAATTACAAGTGGACCCTGTATTTATGTAAAATTATTAGCTCACCACGGTATTAGTCGAAAATGTCAATATAATCGAATTAATCAGTCAAAACCTATACGAGAGTCAAAATATCTATGGCAATCCAATAGCTTCTGATCTCTTGGTTTATGTAAAATTTTTATTTCACCAAGATAAATATTAGCCAGTAGATTTTAGAGGTAGCATTAGTTAGTAGATTTTAAAGGTAATTTTTCTCGTGGTTTTTAGGTTAGTTTTCATCAAACGAATGGCGTCTCGCGTGACCCATTCGCAGATCAAAGTGAATTCATAATTAACCTCGCTTTAAAAGTTTTGAGGATTTTCCAAATTTTAACGCCATGACACTCGATCGATATTCAACTTCGGATATTTAACCCTTATCGATCGCTAGCTTTTTACACGTGGTTTTCACTAGGTCGTAGCTGGTTTCGGTAAATATGCGAAAAATTTCCATCTTGTCACCTCCCACGTGATGCACGACCGCAGCGACGAAGTACTGTTGTCACGTGAGAAGTAACTTACGACCGATAAGGGTTAATATAGATTTATACCCTTTCATCCGCGAAGCTAATCGATTCGTATTGGTTTAACACCTTGCTCTAATTAGTTTTAGAAATTCCTCGAATTCTGCACCTGTTAAAACGCGTGAAGCATATCATGGCCGCGAGATTAGTGTAATTTATGATCGCGAGATTCGGCACGAGGGATTCGTGACCGTAGTCCAAAGATCGAAAAGTTTATCAGATCTGCTTCGAACGATATACAATATTCGATATTAATATCTTCTTCTACGGATCTTCTACTCTCGTTACCGTATCGGAGATAACACTGTGCGTAAACTCCGATACGATCACAACCTTTGCGTTCGATAAGATTTTCTTTTATCGATGTCGCTAATTTCCCTATTGTATCTCTAACAGCGAAACATACAAAAGAAATTTCAACAACGGATTAATTCTACCGTATCTTTTACCTCTGATTACACGATTACTCGATGAGAAACAAGAACTCGAGAATGATCTATAGATCGATACGCTAAAGAGCCAGCGACAGATGTCCCGATCATCAACCCCACTGCCGATTATCTCGAAATTTTACAGTTACTCTGCACAACTGAACCACTGTCGTTCCACTTCTGAAACGGCAGTTAGCAAAATCGAAGTCCGCCATAACGATGCGATAGATCGCAATCACGCAAACGGAACTCGATGAAAAATCCGAGAGTTCCGAGGTCTCCGTGAAACAGCCTCTGCTACCCTTTCCGGGCCGTTTCTCGGAACGTGACGTGCTCGAGTAGGCGTGCCCTAACTCTTTATACTTAATTACGCTTCCATTTATCCGCGAACGATCGATTTAACGAGTACGGCGTCGAGTCGATCGATCCGGGAGATACGGTTTCGGTGATCACGGAAGTTCGTTAACGCGATTGGACCCATTAACAGTCGTGTCGCGAGCGATAGCCGCTCGTTACGGGTCGAGTGTGCCGGGCCACCTGTTTTCCTCGCCGTTAAAAAGGATAAGTGTGGGAACGTCGACTGGTCACACATATCGTGCACATTGTAATTCCGACTGTTCACGCAACGCGACACTTAACCACTGGATTACGATAATCCGCGAGAAGCCATTGTCCTGCACGACATCATCGAGGATGTCATGGAATCGCTGTGCACGGGTAGGTCGCTCGCAATAGTTGGCAATTTTAGACGCGAAACGATTCTGCGAACAGGAAGATCGAGCTGCAATTAAGCAGGAGAACGAATCACGGTAATCGTGATGTTTAAAAACCGCTTAATACCGCGCTCATCGAAATTTCGAACGGGGCTCTCGGAGTTAGATGGTTATCGGATCGAAAGTGGAAAAAACCGGTGCAAATCTAGCTAATCTAGGGACTAATCGCGAGCAGATACATATATTGTTATCTTCGTTGCGAATTCGGGAATCTTGGTGTTATCGGCTGCCGGGGGTTACAACGTAGGTGTAAACGTAGGTTGCTTGAATCCTCGCGGGTAATTAAAAGAATCAGCCATTCGTGGCGAAATATGGAGTGTCGAGGAGTAAAGCTGCGATATCGTTGGATCGGTAAACTAGCGTTCGATCGAAACTCGAGAGGGACGCAACTTTGCTGGGACTACTCGAAATGACCCCTCGAGTACTCGAATCTGATGCTCGATCTGGTGGTTATTAAGCGGTCGGATGGACGCGTAACAATCGTTATCGCGCTGTTCGGCGATCGAACGAGGACGAAGCCGGTCGCAGCCTCCGTAATGGACGCGCGCTCGACGGGTTTCTCGTGGCCGAGGAAAGGAAGTCGAGGATAGGCGGAGTTCGCTCGGGCCAATCGTCGAGATGCGCGCCGCCCACGTGTCAGCGGTTCCTCCCTGCAGACTCCGTGCCTCTCGTGACAGCGTGCACTCCGTTAGCTTCCACCCAACGATTTTCCCTCGTCGACGCGTACACGTCACCCTGTGTGAACTGTCCGCGTCGACAGGACCGTTTCCGGCGGGATCGGCGAGATCCTGAGACACAGCTTTGGGTATCGACAGACAGAGTTTGGAGAAAAGAGTATGAACGGAGAGCGAAGGTTAGGTGGAATGAAGATAAGTCGACATTCCACCGAGGACCTCAGACACGAGCCGGGGTAGCAAATAAATCTCTAAATGACAGAGGTACGTGTCCCGATTTTAATGCACCGTGTCTGTTTCCTTGTGTTTTCCAGGTGGCTACAACCATCTGCGCAGCCCCGTGTGCCAAGACGAGAACCAGAGGGATGAAACCTCGCCACCGCCCCACAGCCATAACGCTCAAGCGCCCAACTCTCATTCCAGTACTCCGAACAGCAACAATAATAACAACAACAACAGCAACGCGAACAACGCGTATATACACTTACGGAACTTGAACCAGCTGAAAACGGAGTGTAAGCATCCTTGCGAAAGAACGGATTTAATTTAGATGCGAAGAAGGATCGGTTCGATTTTGCTCGATGATTGTTATAGCGAACTACAGCAATCACCATATAACAGAGCACCTGCAGGGCGGCGGAGCGGGGTTAACGAGCGGTAACGATCTCGCGGCTACAGGGACCAACGAGAGCGACTTGAGGGTGAGTCAGGCCGCGACGGAGAGCTACATGACTCCGGCCCATTATTCCGGCTACGACGAGGCCTCGGAGTATCACAGTCTGCCGCAGGATCATCAGCCGCCGCATCCTTTCATCCTGGACGGCTCGCCGGAATTTTACAGCACCAGTGGAATTCACCTCGAGCCGAAGTATCAGCCGTCGTCGTTTAAGAATTATCCTCGAGGTAATTTCGCGAGATCGCGTGCATCACGGCGATGATAGAGACGGCTGACCCTGCTTGAAAGATTGTTTTGTTAACGAGAGTAATCTTCGGTTCGCAACAGGTCGCTATCATGAAGGATACAGCGAGAGCGGAGGATACGGACAGTACGACGCGACGCCATTCCAGACGGTTCCAGGAAGCGGAAGCGGAGGTGGAGGTGGCGGCGTTGGCGGCGATCAATGGGGAGTCGGCCCCCTCGAACACCTGTCTCATCATCCGGCATTC